GCTTGGTAGGGTCATTCTACTGGTTCGCGTCCATCACCATAACTGCCTGGTATGGAGACCTGTAAATTCCTGTCAAGCTGTGCAACAGCAGGAGCATCGTTTACACTTGACAAGAGTCTACAGGTGTCACCAAGATGATCATGTCAATCAAGAGAAACTAGGAAAAAGCTAGCTGAAATGCAGAATGCTCCCCCTCCCCCAAGCCGAACAGCGCCTGTCTGCGCTCTTTGCATTGAAATACTGCAGAAATAGGGACGAAAAGTCATTCAGTTATCTGATCATGACAATACTGCCAGGACGTTAGGATGTTGAACTTCCTTACCTTCGGTATATCGTCGACCTCGCCCATGAGATAGTCGGTAAGTCTGGCCGTTAGCTTATTGTCACCAGCAGCTGCCACGCATTCGATAGCCAACACGAGTGACTCATGGTTCTCACCACATGCCATAAGATACTCTAGTGCCTTCAATTGCGAAATCTGAGTTCTCCATAGCAAGCCATTCGGTTAGACCCTATCAGACAGGACCTTTTCCATAGTAAAACTCACAGCTCGATAGTGTCCTGCACGTAGATAGAACCGTCCAGCGTTATGGGCATCTCCAACTCCAGCGAAATGCTCGGCAAGTTGAGCCATTTGATCTTGGGTAGCGCCGTCAGCCTCCACGGAGTCCGCATACTCCGCCATGTGGTCTGTCGTTTCGGCAAGTTGAAATGCTTCCTGGAACAGAACCTACAACTTTCGGCAGCACCTGCTGCTTTACGCTATTTCTTTCACATCAATGGTCCCTTCCACAGGACTTGTATGTCATCGGCATTGTTTGTAGGTGGAGAGGAGGCTCAGCCCTATGATTGCTCTGTGAGAGGGTTTGGGAAGAACGACAATGTTGGTAGTTTGCTAGTTTCTTCACTTTTCTCACCTCGGCAGTAAATTCTCGTGAAGCTGCAAAATGGAACAAACCTTGCATGGGAATCAGCAATTCCCCCCCCCCTGAGTCAAACAGCGCGCTATGTGTGACCGAAAATACAAGGTGATCGTTAAAAAGGGGTGGGTTGTTTTCAAAAACGGTGAAAGATCGAGTAAAAGAGAAGAAACTCTACCGAAGTCACCTCAGGACAGGACACGTCCTAGGATGGGGATCTCCAGTGAGGGGATCGTATTTGGTCGCTGGAGGGAGGGAGCCTGCGTTTGTGAAACTGTTCCCGGTTGTTGATTATTCTAGGTTTTCAAGAATTTTTGGAAAAATACTTGAAAAATTGGTAAGAAGTTGGAAAATTCCAAGTGGATGGTAGGTGGCATGAAGAAGGTGGGGAGCGCTGTATCCCCTCCCCTCCACCTTTTCCACTCTCGATTGGCAGTTTTTTCCCGAGGAGGGGGCGAAGGGAGAAGGGAAATCAAAAAAAAATGCCGATAAAATGGTAGGAATTTGGACAATTCAGATGTAGTACTCGTAAAAGGAATGGGGGGGTTTGTCGAGCTCTCTCCTCTAGCATGGAGGAGAATCCCCGAATCGCCCAACAATATCTTCCCGCGTCCGCTAGAAAGGACGCAACACGCAGATGTAGATGGTTAGTAGGGGGAACGCATTCTCAGGCTAATGGTCCCACGGATCGAGGTGAAGTTGGAAAAGGTTGTGGAATAAAATAGATGAAGTATCGAGTATCGCAGGAGATACTACGGCTACGCCGTTATTTTGGAGTGTACGTATGACAGCGGTTGTTCGTCGATCCAGACAGCCCGATCAAAAATTAGCGACCAAAACGAGGTTGAAGATCCTTCAATAGAAGGAAGGAAGTCCTTAGGTTTGGTGTCGACTAGAATATGGGGAAAAGACGCAAACGAAGACGATACGAAATAGATGAATTGAAAAAATCTACCTGGTGGCAGTTACTCAACACTAAGAAACGGATGGCAGATGCATGATCGCCCAACTGAGAGAAGAATCTAAAATACGTTTGGAGTGTGAGGAAGTGACATTTAAAAAAGAAGAACTGTAAAGGTGTAAACCACATACTTCGCGACCAGTTTCGCTCCTTCGACACTTCGACTTTCTCGAACGACTTTCACCGCCTCTTCGGCCATGTTCAGATGGTCCAAAAGCATCCGAACTAGATTGTCGTAATCTCGAGCGTTTCGGTATGCCTGCATATACATACACTGAGCACACTGAATTGCTGGGTTATGCTTTGGAAAGTATATTGATAAGAAGGGATAGCACCGCGGGTATGAATGATGTATTGCACCTGCACTGCCTTCAGAAATGACGAACCCTGTGCAGTCTTGTTCACTGCGAAAACTGGAGTGTTTCAGAAGACTGCATTTAGTGCGGCGCCAGCCTGCTCTTCACCAATTGTGGTCGCCTGCCAGCTTTCCCTAAATGGTGAAGAACAGGCCGCGTCGCGCTAAACCCATGCTCTTGATACGTCCCTGTATTCGCAACGATCGAGATTGTATGTCATCGGCGTTGTTTGCTGGCAAGGCGGATCAGACACGTGACTGGAGGGAGATGTTTTATAAAAATATACTTGATGGATTAGAAGCATAAGTGTTCTGTCTGCAAAAGCCAGTCCCGCTCTTTCACTGCCGTGGGAGCCCATAAACGATAGGAGCATAGTTTCGCCGGTGATCGATCCTTTTTGGGATGTGGCACAGCATTTTACCCCCCATTAAGAAACCGTACTGGCTTATAGAAGGCGATGTTTTCACACTGACTTCGGGGCCAGCAGATGTACAAGTTAGTGTTATATCCACACAGACATACACTCCTTATCCCTGAGACGGAGTAGGCGTGGCTTTTGAGCATGGCATAGGGTTTCTCGTGGGATACTTCAATTTGAAACAACTGCTATCTTGTTCTGTGTTAGATGTAGACATGATTACGACTGCTCCAAAATGACAATATCTCACGAAAACCTGGGCCGCCGCCATTTTAAAATCAAGTACGCAGCCACGCCTACCCGATCTCAGGGATTTCGAGTATATCTAGTGCCAATTTGTTTAACCGAAGGGTAAAAAATTTGAATGGCCCAGGCGGGAGCCAATCTAGGATTTGATGGCCGGACCACTTGGTAACGATGCCATTTGCCGTTACACCACCTTCGCTTCATGGTAGCCCACCTCCACGAGAAATGGTAAGCAGTCTAGCAACTGGTCGTAAGGGAGCGTCAGGTCACAAGCGACCACATGATCCAAGCTATTTCTCCAAAAATCACCTACAAATTGAGAATACATCCAGGAAATATATTCGAGGTATATGCAAGGGAGGTTTCAAGAATGTGCTTACCACAGCCGCCTCTTTGTATCGCTTCTCGGCCTCCATTATCT